GTAAAGTATAAGCCTGCCTGTGAATGCAACCCAAGCAGTTTCCAGATAAATAACCAAAGACAGTAATTAAAATGAGAACCCTACAGCCAAAGATCTGTGGCCACAAGAGTTGGCAAAATAAGCAGCAAGCTCAGCAAAGCATGTGTTTGGCCCCATCTAAAATGGACTGCAACAACAAAGACACAGAAAACTGTAGTCTGACCATGTAGAAACTGTTTATCAGGGATGCTGTCAACCTGTTTAAGTTGAGGGAGTTTATAATGCACCACGTATTGGAAGGCTTGGAGGTCTCGCCTTTCTTAGGGATCAGCTCCTCCAGTCCTCTTTTAAGACGGGGTTCTATCAGGAGAGGTGAGAAGATTTCTGCAGAAGTCAAAAAATCTGAGAAACTGAATTAACAATAGATAATAATCAAAGGAAATACTGGGAGGCCACGCCAAGCTGAAACTGGTGCAGGGGTGGGGGGCGGGAAAGGAAGCCATTTCCTTTGATCCAAATTCAGAAGCCAAATGTGTTCGTCTCAAAAAAACAATACTTTATAGACAGTTAATAGCAGTTAACAGAATAAATATTACTTGGGGGTTTGATTAAATGCAACTAAAACATATAGTTTGAATAAGACAATGAAAAAAGAGGTTCAAATTAAATTATTTTTCCTCCAAATTTAATCTAAATCAGATCCAAGAATACCTCTGGTAAGCAAAGCAGTCAAAAGTAGATTCAAACCAAGTGAAGACAGAGGTGGCAATCTGTGCTAGTCTGAAATAATCAGAAGGTAGGGCAGGGTAGTATCTTCAAATGGCATTAGGTGAAGTAGACTGTTGCCTACAAAAGTTCATGCCTTTGAAACAGTTAGTCTCTAAAAGGCCACCCTGCCTTTTGTCTGAATGGCAAAAAGAGGAAAATTATACACATAATTCCAGCTAGCAGATGGCAGTTTTTTGCTAGGAATAATAATGAAGAAAGCATATTATTGCACATAACATGAGCACCTTTTCCGCCAAAAATTAACCTTCCAAAATTGGGGAGTATTTCTTTGAAGAGGGAGCGCTGATTTTCTGCCCAGAATAGCAGCACTGACATTTCTATTGAGACAGTGACTGAAGGAGTCAATTAACCTTATAGATCATGAGAGTCTACTTGATTCCTGCTAAATGTTCTTCATTCTGCAGGTATTAGCAAACCATTTTAATGGTCTTGATGTTCCATTAATCAAACTCACCTTTCTTCCACAACTTTGGCCAGGGATTTGTCCTGGTCTCTCTTCCCCTATTTGATAGCTTTGCAGACTATTTTCAGCTCTATTCAAAATTCTACATCTGCCCGTGAAGTCAAAGCTTCAGCAGCTACAGTTTCAGCTTTTGGCAGAACAGCTAAGAGCTGCAGACAACTAAGGTGTGAAAGGGTTAAAATTGTAGCTGCCTGACCAGGAAAGGGTGGGTGAGCAAGCTGAAGATTAGACTCTGTCTGTACTGTATGTAGCTGTAACTCCGGAAAAAAACATTTTTTCTTCATTGTATCTTTCCAAAAATAAGGTGCACCTCTTATCTGGGGGTATGAGGTATTTGAGAAAATACAATACTTCCTATATAGGACCTGATATCAATTCAGAGGACAATAAAGAAACAGTACTTAATGGCCAAAAGCTTCCCAACTCAAAAGCTGGTCCAATAAAAAAAAATCCTTGCCTTTCAAGAGCAATAGAGTAAATTATCCTTGAGGGACTTTGTCAAATCCTTTAAGGGGGAAAAATTTAGTTTAGTTTATAAAGAATTAAAATGAACTTCCATAAAACCTAATAGCAATTAGAAATCCCCTTGTCCGCACAGAGTTGTACCACTTCATCTCCCCCACAACATGGGCACAACTGCACCCCTGGGAAAGTGCTTCAAGCCAGTAAAACTATCCCTACATAAAAACAAGAGTAACTGCACTAATGTAATGCCATGCCTACATTAGGACTGCTTTGCCAGCACAACATATCATCTTATCATTGACAAAGCATTCCTAGTGTGCACAGCTCACACCCACACAACTGTACTATTGCTGGCAAAGTTTATTCCAGTTTCCCAGCACAGTGGCATATGTCAGCAGGGTTTGCCCAATATAATGCCATCTACTCTACAGATTTTTGTTGGCATGGCTCTTTTGGTCAGGAAGCACACCAATTCACACCCCTTACTAGCAGAGCTATGCCAACAAGTTTAAAGCCCCAAATAAATAAGCTGCCTTTACAGCAGCATAGCAGCATCCAAAACAAGGTGTACATGTATGTGTAACAAAAATTGCGATGTTCACATATGCACATGCCCTTATCTAAAGGAGTAATGCTAGTACAACAATGGTGTGTAAACCATGCCTGAAAAAAAATGGTCTGGATTTAACCATTCCCTTGCAGTGCTTGCAACCCACAGAGCAGACTCAAACTTTTCCATATTAGGAGCTACTTGTGCAATAACAAAAAAAGCTTCTCAGTTCCCTTCTCACCTAGATCTGAGGAAAGGGAGTGAAAGGGAGTGATGACAACTCCCAGACTGAGAACCTACAGGCTACAACACAGGAAGTGAAAAGTAAAACTGGACAGAGAGTGAAAGAAAAACCCAGAACTGACTTGTCCCAGACGAATGACCCAGCAAAGAGCACAAATGTGAGATGTTTGAAGGTCTCAACAAGACACAACTTCTTATTTTCACTGGACAGGTTGGCACCTCAGAGACTAACTTTTCCGTGCCTCTTGGAAAAAATTAGCCCTTCAGGTACCACACTGCACTAGCAACCACAAACACAGGATGCTTCAAGGACTCAGCAAGGCACAAGGCTCCTCACAAAAGCTTGTGCTATGTGTACGCACAGTATGTATGTGTGCACATACACACATGCAGATTTTGCACGTGCATGTAGATTTACAATTTTGCACATGCATATACACATGCAGATTTTACATGTGCATGTACACGTGCAGTAAATTCTGTCCATATGTGTGTGTATATATAATCATACGCACATATAGTAGATTGTGTGTGTATACGCACATATATATCGATTTTCTGCCTCTGTGTGTGTGTATGTATATACACACAAATATATAGTATATTTTGTGTATGTAGGTATCCAGGTTGTAGCTGTATCGGTCTAGTTGGTCTAATAAAAGATATCACCTCTACCACGAGTCCTGATTCTCTGTGTGTGTGTCTGTGTGTGTGTGTGTGTGAGTGTGAGTGTGTGTGTGTGTGTGCGCGTGCACACGTAGATATAGATCTATAGATCTATCTATATATACACTAGGCAATTATCCATCAAGAATGATGGGGGGGAGAGGGGAGCAAGCTGGGATGGAGCCATGTGTCCCCACCCCATGCAAGCCTGCTCTTCCCTTTCCTCCTGCTGCTTGGGGTCCAGGGCCATTCCCTCCCTCCCCACCGCAGAGGCAGGGGGAGGGGTGGAGAGGGCCCAGGACTGATGCCAGAGAGGACTAGGCCCAAGGGTAGGGAGAAGCCGGGGTGCCACAGTGGGGGGTGGGAGGGAGCAGCAGGCCCAAGCCAACCTGGCAGTGGCGGGGGACAGGAGGAGCAGGCTCGGGGCTAATGTGGGGAGAGGGGGTGGAGGATGAGTGGGCCCGGCCCGACATGGGGGAGAAGGCACGCTCCTCCACTCCCCCAGCTGCTGCTGTGTTGGGCTACATGGGGCCAGGGCTGCCGCTGCCCCCCCACCGTGACAGTGACAGTGGGCAAAGGGAAGGAGTGGGCCGGGGCCTGATGCAGGGGAGGACTGGATCCAAGGCTGGGGAGAAGCTGGGCCGCCGCAGCGGGGGGAGCAGCAGGCCCGGACTGACCTAACAGTGGGGGGGGGACAGGAGGAACGGGCTTGAAGCCAACGCAGGAAGGGGGGTAGAAGTGGGACCGGGCCCGAGGAAGGGAAGAGGCCTACTCCTCCCCTCCCCCAGCTGCTGCCATGTCAGCCAGGGCCCACTGCTCCTCCCCCCTCACCACCAGGTCGGCCAGCTTCTCCCTGCTTGGGCCCGGTCCCACTCCTCCCCTCCCTACTCCTGCGTTGGCTCCGAGCCCACTCCTCCCATCCCCCCTGCCATGGCAGCCCAGCTTTTCCCCACACTGGGGCCTGGTCCTCCCCCGCATAGGCTCCGGGCCCACTCCTCCCCTCCCCCACTGCCACAGTGCACCTGCCATTCCCCCCACCTGCATCGTGTTGTCCCACATTGGGCCCTACAGGTGGCGACAACGGAAGGGGGCAGGGGTGGGCCAAGGGTTCCCCCGTGCTGCTGCCACCATCACCTGCAAGGAGTAAGGGTGGGGGGCCAGCTCTGGTGGCCTCGGCCCCCTCCGCTCCATCATCGCAACCTGCAAAGAGCAGGGCAGGGGGCAAGGCCCCCCTCCTTCCGCTGCCCCCCCCCCCCACC